ATTGGCCCACCTTATCATAAAAAGTAGGTTCCTTCTTATGCGGCCTAAGGCAAACATTGTTCATAAAAATAAAATAAAAAAGTTATGGTACTTAGAACAATACTAGATTGGTTGAAGTAAATATCTAAAAGCTCCACAACTTGCTCCTATGATAAATTTATTATATTTTTCCTGGATGAAAGACTATTATTCAGTATAGTCGATCTTCATTAACAAAGTGTGTTCGGAACCTAATCTTTAGTTTATTTGCATAAAGTGATTTCATATATATATATATATATTTTTGCACCCACAAAGTGATTTTTCTCATGCTCTCATCTGCATTCTTCGATCAGTTCAAAACTATGATCATTTAACACTGATGGATTTGGACTAATGCAATATATATATATATATATATATATAGTTCAACTGGTCTCGTAATAAATAAATATATTTTAGTAGAAAATAGTGTGTTAAAGAGAAAATTAAACTTACTATGCTAGAAATGGAGGTATATATCAGGTCCATATGTAATATGGATTTCTAACAGTTGCTCCTGTAATGAACAAATATGTATTTAAAATAAAAAGAAATTTCATACGTGAAATTTAAAACTTACCAGTGCTAAATTTTATAGATGGGAGTCAATATCTATTATCCACACTTACTTTGGTAGTGCGTAAGTGATCCGAAGGGAGTATATAATTTCAATTAAAAATATCAAAACTTACATACGGTAGAACTTAGGTCTGCAACTTTGCTTCTGTAATGAATTAATATGTGGATTTTCATTCCATTCTGAATTACTTCAAAGCTACAAACAATCGAGTTCTGGTAATGCACTGTCCTTGATTTTCTTTAACGAAATTAAGTTATGATTTCCTAAGTTAATATTTTTTTGGTTTTTTATTACAATCTTACGTACCTTGTCTAGGCTCTTGTTGTTTTTTCAGGGGAATGTCCCTTGCTGTTTTACATATTGTATCTCATTAATATAGTTTATCTGAGAAAAATGGGAAAAAAAAAAAGATGTCTCATACAAGATGAATTATGTGCAACCATGTGATAGGTAAAACTAGGTTTATATACCGATTGAATTTAAATCAGGATATTTGAATTAGCTCCAATAAGAAAATAATCTGATTCAATCCGATCTAATAATATAATGACCAATCAACACCTTAATTATATAAATTAGAATTTTCGTAATCATCTCGGCTATCAACTTGATTGTATTAACTATAGTCCATTAAATAGGCCTAGGAGAAACAAAAAAGACTTCCCGGTTATGGTTCCACCATAGTGTGGACTCTAGGAGGGATGACTTGAGAGTCGAGGCAGACCTAACCATTGGTAATTCATAAAGCTGACTGCTCTGATGCTCAAGCATTTTACACTAAAGCCACCAATCCATATTCCTACTAGAATCTTTTCTATCTAAAATACTAATAATTTACTAGTTGGTATAGTTTGGTTATGGAGAGATGTCTATTAATTAGAGAGGTTAGGACTTTAAAACATCATAGCTATTCAATTGCACTAGTTTATGTGGCTCTTGTGAGATTTAGGTTAGGGTTTTGCTCTTGGAAAAAATAAGCACATCTGTGACTATATAACCATTAACTTCCATCAAAATTTGAACTTTTAAAAATTAGTTGGCTATTTAAGCTGTCAAAATTGAAATGCCACAACAATTAAAACCAGGTAGCTCATTAGTGAAGATATTTGATTATTTTCTATCTACTTATTTTGGGAATTTTGGGACCTAAAAGTTAATATATGTCACTCTAAAATGTCATAATATGGGCTTTATGGTTCTTGTTAATTCGATTATTGATTGTTCTCTTGAATAAAATCACATTGGAGAGGGCTTTTTTGGTTCAACAACTGCAACTTTTAGATGAGATTATTCGAATTGACCTCGCTATATGAGTACTTCTGAATGGAACATTGTTTTCCAATGTATCCGGTAAACCAAGGAAAAAGGGAAAAAAATTGATGAACTATGTTATTGCTAGCTAGTTCAGCTCAATTCATTATTATATATCCTATAGATTTCTTAGTTATGTTAGTTAATGAAGAGCATTTTGTCAAGCTTTCCCACTTATTTCCTCTCCCTCCTGCTTTTTCAAATTCCATCTTCTGTGGTTGAGAGGATTGAGAGGTTGCAACAGAATTTTCTTTAGGGTGGAACAGGGGAGGAGTTTAAGTTTCATTTGGTCCATTGAGTATCAGAAGACTAATTCCTTTTTAACAAAGTTCTTTTGGGGACGTGGTTATGTAGCTTTGTTGGTGGAGAGGCACAAACTATGGAGGAAGGTGATCGCTAGCAAATTTAGGGAGGTGAGACATGGATGGTATTCTTTGGAGGTAAGATCTCCTGTTGGTGTTGGGAGTGGAAATTCATTCGGAAGGGGTGGGATTAATTTTCCAAACACATCAAATTTTGTGTTAGGGATGGTAAGGGGATTCGCTTTTGGGAGGATTTATGGTGTGGAGATCGATCTCTTGCTCTCACTTTTCCTGACTTCTCAGGATTGCTACGGATAGACATGCCTTGGTAGCTGAACGCTATTAATAGCTGGAGAATGACTTGGGATGTGTGCTTTTTGCGTCACTTTTAGAATTGAGAGATTGAGGACGTCATTAGTTTTTTAGAGACGTTGTACTGCTGTGAGATTGTATATGCGAGTTTCTGACTCATGGGTGTGGATTCCCTCTTCCCATGGATGTTTTGATGCCCCAATCCTTCTTTAGGTGACTTTTGGATGTTCATTCACGTGGAAGGCTATTTGGCGATCTAAGGCGCCCCTTAAGGTAGCCTTCTTTGCTTAGACATATTGATGGAGAATTGGGCATGGTCTGAAAGATTAAAGTCCATATGGTCCACACCTACTATTGAAGACGTGGGAAAGAAAGATAGAATTAGGAATTTTTTTTCTATTTTTTATTATTGGATTTTCAATAATTTACTATTTTAGGATTTTATTTTTGGTAATAAGATTTGAATTTTCTTGATGCCTATTTATATGTAGATTATCAACATTGTTAAGGGACCTTTTATATTTATTGATGTTTGAATTTTGAGATATTATTGTGACTCTTCTCCCTCATTCTGATTTCTTCCTTCAATTATTCTTCTCTTCTTCCTATTCTTGTTACATTCTCTTTCATTCTATTTCTTGTTACTCGGTTCTACATCACATATGTGTTGGGGAAGATTTTGACTCAAGATAACCTAAGGAGGAGGAGACAGGTGGTGGTCAATTGCCGCTACATGTGTAAGAGAGATAAGAAAACAATGGATCACCTTCTTTTGCATTGTCCCATTGCTTGAGAATGCTAGGTAATGTTATTGGGTCTGTTTGGATTCCAGTGGGTTATGCCCAGGTCCTTGAGAGACTTGGTGGAGGCTTGAGAGGGTGTATAGTGGGGTCCAAGTCCGTGAATGCTAGAAAGTTACGCCTCTGTGTGTTTATGGTGTTTATGGCTGGAGAGAAATAGAATATCCTTTTATGAAAAGGAAAATCTTGTTGGTGCGCCGAAGTTCTCCATTATTAGCACTCTTCTTGTTAGATTCTTGGGATAAATTGTAAATTCTTGTAGGAGATAGTAGATTTTTTGAACTCTTTGAACGTTTAGAAGTCCTATTTAGCCTTGTGTAGTTTGTGAGGGATGCACTCCCCTTTTAAAGGCCTTTTCAATTCATTATTACAGAATTTTTTTTTTTATGTTAGTTAAATAAAATTCTCTAAGGTATGCATATGCCATGCCATGCCATGCCGCCATTTAAGTTATTGATCAAAACCATTGTTGTAAAATGCTGCAAAATCTCTTGCGTTGCTGGCTAAAAGTTCCCTTAATATTAAGAATGTGTTACCTTTTGAGTTAAATTAATTCTTGAATTTTGTACACTTCTAGGTATAGCGTACTTCATAAATTTATTCATTATCTTTTTTTTACTGTTAAATACCGCTAAGTTTTTTTACCTCCCACTGTTTTCTGGATCAGTCCCTAAATACATGCTTAAAGAAAATCATCAACTACCAGGAAGATGTTTTTTTTTTTTTTTTTTTCCCGAATGATGAAGCAAATATATAGATAGATTATAGGCTTATGGTTGGGCCCGACCCTTGGAAAAAAACATTTACAGTGCAACAGAGACACTACAAGCCCAAGAGGCTCAACGAGAACCAAAGAAGCCCAAACGTAGAGCTATAGAAGCCCCAAACAAGGTGATAAAGAACAGCCGTTACTAACAACATTGGCCGTTAATAAGGGATATCCCAACGTATCTCCGGTGACAAAGCCGATATCGGCTACCAGGAAGATGTAGCTAATTAAGCAATGTTGAATATCTAACTTTTTATCAACAGTCACACCATGCACATGTCATTAAATGTTAAGCTATAATCTTAGGCTGGAGCATCACTTAAAAATTTGGTATTCTGTGGATTCTTGAGAAGATAAGTTGTATTTAAAGTGTAATTATACTTAATGTTGCATTTAATGTGTATAATATTGATAATATTAATATTAAATAGTTACTTACCAAAAAAAAATAATAATAATAATAATAATTAGTTCATGCATGCATTTGGCACCGTTCATCATACTTTGTCTTTTATCATCAAAATACAACGACAAAATGTCTAAAAGGACAAAATATATAAAAGCAAACTCAATTGTGATAATGGCTACTTACCCAAAAAAAAAAAAAAAAAAATGATAATGGCACCAACCCCCAAAAGATTAGCGCTAATGTTAGAAAGATCATAAACACAGTTGCAGTGTATATTGACTTGGGGTTAAGAGTAAAAGAAAATAGTGATGGCCATACCAAATATAGAATGTGGACCATGTGGTCAAGGATTTCTTGTCGTCCGTTTGAGTAGAAAATTAAACTCTTCCAACACATACGTAATTAATTTGATGCCACCTTCTCCCATTATAAAGCTTCTTTGTGGAAATCAGAAAACCAAAATCAAGAAAGAGATCGAGTGGAGTAAATATCTACAATGGAGGAAGTAAAGGTAGTCATTGTTGGAGCAGGTCCTTCAGGCCTCGCTACCTCTGCATGTTTAAACCGTCTATCTATTCCAAACCTAGTTTTGGAAAAAGAAGATTGTTCGTGCTCTTTGTGGAAGAAGCGGAGCTATGATCGGCTTCATTTGCATTTGGCTAAACAGTTTTGTAGCCTTCCTTTCTGCGAGCACTCGGCCAAGACTCCCGTTTTCATGTCCAAAAGTGACTTCATTAGGTACGCAGATGACTATGTTTTGCGGTTTAATATAAACCCTCGTTACTGTCATTCTGTTGAATCGGCTAATTATGACGAAGGCAAAAATAGATGGCTGGTTGAAGTGAAAAATACCATCTCTGGGGAGATGAAGTTATGCGTTTCCGAGTTTTTAGTTGTTTCTTGTGGTGAGAACAGTGAAGGTTTTATCCCCATGTTGCCTGGTCTGGATAACTTTAATGGAGAAGTTGTTCATTCCAATGAGTATAAGTCAGGTTTAAGGTATCAAGGTAAAAAGGTTTTGGTTGTTGGATGTGGAAACTCCGGCATGGAGATAGCTTATGACCTATCAAATTTCGGAGCCCACACTTCAATTGTGGTTAGAAACCAGGTAACACATTCCCCCTCCCCCTCTCTCTGTGTTTTTGCATGTGTGTAATTCATATATATATATATATATATATATATATTTAATGCATTTCATGGATATGGGCAAGACTTGCATCAACTTATATGTTTTTGCATTCGTATAATTCAAATTTTTTGAAACATGTCATTGATCTGGGCAGATTTACATCAACTTGTATGTTTTTGCATTTGTATAATTCAAATTTGTTGATGCATGTCAACTTGTACTAATTATAGATTAGCATTAGATAATCTCTTGTAATATTCATTTTTTATGTATTGTTTTATAAATACTATTCATTTTTTATTTGAGAACCAAAGAAAATAAAATACCATTGATAATCTCTTAGTCACGGACCTGGGCAAGATCTGCATCAAGTTGTATGTTTTTGCATGTTTGTAATTCAATTAATTTGATGCATGTCATGGATCAGGGCTTCAACTTCTACTAATCATAGATTAGCATTAGATAATCTCTTGTAATATTTATTTTTGATAAATACGTACTATTAATTTTTTATTTGAGAACCGAAGAAAATAACTTGAAGCAGTACAAAAAGAATGGCGTTTTGACATGTATGTAAAGCCTTGATCCACAAATTAAAATGGCAAGGCTGACTTTACAATTTTAAGAACACTACAATATTAATACTATTGCGATATATTATGCTACGTATATATTATTCATAAAACCTTAGGGTACATTTATGAACACTGATGCCACGTACGCGATAGTTTAGTTTTTTTAATTCTCCTGCTTAACGGAGTTGATCAGATTTCGTTGGATCTCTTTCCGGGATTACAGTAATAGTCCTTGCTTGATTTATCAGGTAAGTTTTAATGATGCTTTGGTCAAACAGATGCATTAATATTGTGCCACCCATTTTTTGCGGGACACAACGATATGAGATTATGAGGCATAAAAAGAATTCACTATTTTATATACCCTATCATCATCAGTACTTTTTTCTTAAATCAATTTTGTTTTCCAATTAATTTCTGTAATTCAATGTACTAGCAGATTTATGTACAAAATCATTTGTGTATTGGTTACAGTTTCATGTTGTGACCAAGGAAATGGTATTGATCGGGCAGTTGTTGTTGCAATATGTATCGGTTTCTGAGATAGACAATTTAATCACAGTGCTTGCTGAGCATAAGTATGGGAATTTGTCCAAGTATGGGATTCATCGACCAGCAGAAGGCCCATTCTATCTTAAAGACACAACTGGAAGATCTCCGGTTCTCGATGTCGGAACTATTGAGAAAATTCGTTCTAGAGCGATAAAGGTATACACAACAGTGAATAATATTATTAAGAAAATGATAGTACGTTCATTGAACCGTTGGAACGTGTGTTTTGCATATATGCTCTCATTCTATGAGGGTTGATAATATATTTTTAGGTTGTTCCGGCAATATCATGCATCAAAGAGGAAGTTGTGGCGTTCGAGAATGGTGACCAACAACACATTGACGTGATAGTGTTTGCAACTGGATACAAAAGCACGGCCAGTAATTGGCTTAAGGTTATTGAATCATATAAATCAGGAATTAATCTCACTTTTAATTCTCTTTTATTGGTAGATTAATGCACTAATGAATATATGTTTTGTAATATCTGGGCGCAGGACTATGGCTATGTTCTTGATAATAATGGAATGCCAAAAAACAATTTCCCGGCTCACTGGAAAGGTGTGAATGGCTCATACTGTGCTGGTTTATCAAGAATGGGATTGTTCGGTGTGGCCTCGGATGCGATTGCTATTGCCAATGACATTGAAAAGGCTATAAGTGGCGTCTGAATTTTATCTTCTTTTGCGTGATCTTTTGTGAATTCCTGAAACTACAATATTTATGAACTTTTAAGTCGTTATGTATGAGCTATAGAAGTGAATTTTCATATTGTCCTTTCAGTTTTTGTTTTGAATTTGTATTCAGAATTTTCTTTTTTCTCTATTTCTTTGATATGCTAGCAAAGGATAATTGATTATCTAAAGACCAATTAAGACCAATTTATTGTTGTTCAATTCAAGGTTGCTTTTGCATCCTCGAAGTTGATTTTCTCTAAGTTATCATTTAAGTTGCCAAGTGTTCTATTAGACAGATCTAACGGCTTAAAAATACTACATCATTTACTTAAAAATAACATTTAGAAACTACGTCGTCCAAAGAGCTAGTTACGTTTGTCAATGCCATTACTGAACTAGCGAAAACATCGCTGAAATACGTTTTCTTATATTCTCTTCTGTCTTTCATTTTTTTCTCTGCGACACCACCCTTGTGATCTCTCTCTAAAACTTTCTAATATCTCTCGTTCTCTCTACTGATTTCAATCCCTTTAATTTTCTAAATCTACCTACAAGCCTTGAAAAACTCTTTTTCAATTTGATTCTTTCTGCACATTAGGGTTTTCATGACGTAATGTTAGATAGAGAAATGCTATTTCTTCAACATCACATTCAAAGACCATTACCCTGAGAGAAGGTTTGAGGGTCCAAAACTTAGAGCAGAGATATATGTATTATGTATATACGTGCAATTGTATATTTATATGTTTATATATAGAGATTAAAAGAACCCTAATTAAATTTTTTTTTTTTCTTTTAGAAGGAACTAGGAATTGCCAAATTCTGAAATCTGGTTTGTTTGTTGGCAGCATCAATATTTGAACTCTTCCTTCAACTACTTGTTTCCCTAACGCTTAGAATGAAGTGTGTAACAGGGTGAGGAATTGAATAATTGCAGGTTTGCATATACAAAAGAAATAAGGTTAAGTGAGAGAAGAAAAAACTGACGGCCGTTTGTCATTTTTTCCAAATGTCATTTTTGTTTTATTATTTTATGTAATTGATGTGACATTCACAAATTCATAGATTCACCTAAACTTACACATGACACGAGTTATTCAAAGTGAACTTTATTTAAAATTTATATATTTTAAACAAAAATAATATTGCACAAATTATATTATTACGTTACTAATATTAAAGTGATCTCACCAAAAAAAAAAAAAAATCGATTCAAAATATCATAAAATGAAATTATACCAAATCGTCAAAGTTAATAGTATCATATGGTGAAAAGAAATAGCTTAAAATTTTAACACATTTATGTTATATGTACAATAAATGAATTTTGGTGCGAAATTTTGACCATATAATCTTAATCAATTCTCTATACCAAACGGTCAGATTGTAAATCATCATAATAAAAAGACAGATAATTTATGAGCAGTGCCATGTAAGAGACCATGAAAGAGAAGATCACGGTGGCCTTACTCTAATATATATATATATATATATATATATATATATATATATATATATATTTAATGCTTCACGGAAATTAAAAAACATATTAATTGTGATTGATGTAATTGATAAGGTCCTCTAGTACATAGCAATTCTCTTAATTAAATACTTTCTTCCGTCCCATATTAATTGTCTATCTTAATTTTATTATATAACTTTTTAAAGACACACGCAATTAATATTTGTCTCCTTTTAAAATTATTGTATTGCCTTTTTAAGTTTAAAAGTGTATATTATTAATTAAGTTGAGATATTTGAGAACTTAAAAGAGTAATTATGAAAAAATAGTACTTTTTTGCTTTGAATTGTCAAATAGGATAATTAATTTGGGCACCCTAAAATAAACTAATGGACGCGCGCTTAAACTGTTAGGTAGTGTTGCATACCTACCTATTTATATCCAATCACTCTCCCATCTGGATCCGATGTGGGACAAATATTCCTTTATAACATTTTTTCCCACCTGAATTCACAACGCCCTGTTGGGTCACCCTGTCTACCCAGGGTGGCTCACCCGGACACCGTTCGGGCTGGGCACTTGACGTGACACCGGATTAAGGACTGAGTCTAGTTCTGATACCAACTATAATCGGTGGACGCTTGCCGGTCCATTTATCCAAAAACTTAAGTTGTTGGGTAATGCTACATACCCACTTATTTATACCCAATCACTCTCCTATGAATTTTTCTGGATAAATTTTTATCCACTTGGTGTAGAGGATAAATTAAAGGGTGGGTCAAATATACTACATCAAAGGAATGAAAACTATTTGACTATACAGACGTGCTAGAGGAATCGACCTAAGAGTCATTTTCTTTTAACTAATTTTTAGCAAGGGGCAGAGGAGGGGAGGGGGCAATGTTCGAACATGGCTCCCTAATACGAGAAGTAATCCAACTACTCGGGCAATACTGCACTTGTCAACCATCATGTTTGAAAAGGGATAATTTTTCTAACCATATTTTGTATTTTTTTTTTATAATATATATATATACATAGTAAAGGCTCACATTGGGTCCTAAGGGCAACTTTAGAAGTGGAACACTACTACCAAGTACCACTCAAGCCCACTTGAGTCTTGGAACGACTTATTTTTTGTTGGATAAGTTAAACAATTTTCACAAACCCGCGCAATTTTATCCCTCTTAGGGCTCCAGCTCCAACTCCTCAATACCTTTTAAAAAGGAGAGGTCATAATATCAAGGTTGATGGCCAGGTGATAATTAACCCATAGTGTGAAATATCAGTTGAAATTGTAAACATTGGTACTCAAGGCGCTATATTTAAAATATATATATATATATATATATATATATATATATATATATATATATATATATATATATAAATAATTTGTGGTATTGGGGCTTTATCCCGACTAATCTCCAAGTATCCATGAAGGGCGCCTGTACACCGCGGTTGAGTAAGTCGATCGCAGAATAATGATTGCGGAGGTGTGTCTTTGAGGAAATTGTTTGCACTCAGTGAGAGTGATATATCGGATTATGCTATGGGCTGTTTTAGGACAACGAGTAGCCCTTTTCTGGGAATTGGTGATTAAGAGTTGGAAATGGTGTGATGTGGTCGATCGAAGTGTTTATGGATGTTATGTGATGTTCTAAGTGTGATGGTGAAGTCCGATATCCAATGGCTGCGATTGTACAAAAATTTTCTTTCCAGCTATAGGTTGGCGGCGAGCAATAAATTTTTTCTTTACAGATATTATATATATTTTCAATTTCATGGGTGGAGACCTTATAATACTCATTTAGGGACGCCAAAATGTCCATATCTATCATCTTATGGAAATCAGATTCTACTTCAAGTCAGGGATGTGCCCTTTAACTTTCAAACTGACCCATTTAACTTGATCTATCATCACTTACTCGTCATTCTTGTGGTTTAAGATGTTGGGAACTCAATTCAGTTTAATTCAAAACTCTCATTTTCATTCAAATTAAGGTTCAATCTTTATATATTAAAACACTATAGTGACACATTGTGTCCAAGAGAGGTATTGAGGTTGGTGGGGCCAAGGTCGATCTTATTTCTAACATTCCTCCACCCATATGTGTCATAACTCTTTTTGTGTGTTGGAGTTTTTGAGTAAGGTCAATGCCATTAGAAAGCTGGCTTCGAGACGTTCATTTGAGCACTAATTTGCCCGATAAAGAAGTAGAACATTTGGTATTCCCTCCAACACATTCAGATTCAGAAGATGATTCCCATCCAATTATCAAAAATTAAATCATGTTACAATTAAAAACAAGTATACTAAGGATTGATGATTTATTTGACCAGTTAAAGAGAACTTGTTACTTCTCGAATCTTGATACTTCACAAGGCACCAAGGCCAAGTGATCTTATCACTTGAGCCAATCCCTCGGGATTTTCAAGCCACCTTGTTGAATATGTAACAAAAAAATTCCAAGGCCTTATTTTGAATAAAACACTAAGTTTAACCATTTAAACCAACTCCAACATTGTAATAATCTAAAAATAGTAAATTAACAAATAAACAAAACAATTCTGATCAAATTTAATTTTAGAACGTATGGCAAAATAATCATGTTACTGAAAAAAAAAATGATATATCCGTTGGGGGTGTTAAATAATCCATGTTTGAAGTTAAAGCTAAACTCCGAAGGTTAGGAATTTGAGATCTATGTCCTCCGATAACCTACATGGTGATGAAAATTTTGGGAGAAGGGTTGCATGTGCTTGGCGGCCACCAAATGTGATGCATATTTGTTGATCACCAGTTCATTTGATTCATCAGTTGGAGAGCTTGTACTTTGCATCATAACCATCAATAATGAACCACAAAAATTGCAATTGTTTTCCATCTTTTGAAGAGTCTGCTTGAATGCCATCTTTTTAAAATTAACCTTAAATTAATGATCAATAGAAACAATGTACGTCAAACTTTGCTAAGTTTTTTTAGAATAGGCTTTTTCATAATTTCCAAAAAATCATTTTATATTTTTACGAAGAAATAAAACTCTCACCATTTTGACAGTGGATTTCTCATTTATTTCACCATTACACTGCACACTATTATAGAAATGATACTGATTTCATTCCACTGCACTAGTACATTTAGTTTTCAACATTTCAATGGATTATAATTCAATAAAAAGCTACTGTATTTTTTTTTTTCTTTTTTCTTTGACGAAATTAAGACAAAGATATATAATATGTAAGAGGACAAAACTAAGTCGGTCATGCATATGAAAATTTTAATGTAATTAGATTGTGTTTGATCGCATGAAATTGAAGTCTCAAAATTAGAATTAATAAAATTAAAAAATAATTTAGTTCAATTCTTTGATTTGTTGTCTGGGATGACACTAATTTTAATTCTATAGCTTCAATTCTCTGCAGCCGTCAATATTTTGGAAGGGCAAATCTGTTGAGGTCTGTTTTGTCTTTTTACTTCTTTAAAGGATCTGGATATATGTTCGAGCGCTCAGGGAATCATGGGTTAAGC